ACCATCACCTTTCTCCAACACCTCCCTCTGCCCAACTTGCGTCAGCTTAAAAAAAAAAAAAAAGAAGAAGCAAACTCAGTTTACTGTTGTACAACTGGATTAAACATCAGTTACACCAATTTCTCTTTGCTTTTAGAATTCTGGCTTTTATACAGCAAAATACTCACTGAAATTTTTACTTGGGTGTCATTCTTCAACAAAATGCTATAGATTGGTTGGCTGATAAATCTAGAAATGCTGATTTTGGGGGGTTTATGAATACAAGTCAAACCAGTAACCACAGTAATGGGGTCCGATTATTTAATGAAATAACATAATCACAAAAGCAAAAAAAAAAATTCATTACCTAGTAGAGGAGTTATTTTCTTTTGAATTGTTGATCTGTTTGGAGGAAATTTTACAGAATGACATACACTTCCAAATGATGTCAAGTTATCTATCCAAGGTGTGGGAGATTGGAAAGCATATGCCATTATCATCCACTGCTACCAACCTCAAAATAAGCAAAGGCTATTTGATGTTTTGAAAGAGTTCTAAACGTACATTTTTCTCCACTTAAAAAACCCACATAGCTCTCCATATACATAACGAAGGGCTGAAATGTATTAGCAAATAATTTATTCTGTTATGAAAATTTGTCAGCTAGACTCTATTCTGAAAGTAAGCTGAGGAAAACAGATTAGAAATCAATCGAAAATTAAGGGTTTGTTGCCTTTTAAATATTTAGGAAGTGAGTGTACAATCTGATAACCAATCAGAAGCAATGCTAGGTTACATCAGTTGTGTCAATTCCTATTTCTATTTAAAAAAAACCTAGACATTGTTCTCTGATTAAGAAATTCTTAAGTTGATGCAATACATTAAACATTAAACAAAATGCCTAGTTACCCATTTCTCCTTTTCCTTTCAAATGTGGCCTATTTGATCTATTAACTTAGTATGTTATACTTGGTTTTACTTGTCTTTTAGCATGTTCTCCTTTTTAAGAGTCATCTGGTAGCTTTGTCTTTAGTCAGATGAGAATTATTATGGTTTCAGGAATAAAGCAATAGTAAAAGAAGTCCTAATTATAATATCAGGAAAATCTAAATAATACTCCATTTTAAATTACTGTTTCCATCATCCAGTTGTGATCTTTCCAACTTAGGTTTTCACTCTGTTTGCAAAATTACTTTATGAATGTGAGATGGAGCAAAGACCAGCAATAATTTTTAGAAAATTAAAGACTTCTATTCTGGTAAAATCCCATTTAATAGTGGGTCAACTAAACAAGAGTGGATGTACTCCAATAAGTGAATTTTATTTTATATCTTCATATTTAAGAAGTGATAAATGCATAAATCTTCAAAAGCTTTTCCTCCCTTAAAATTTTGCTTGTAATTCTGACCTTTATATATAATAAATAATTGTAGCAAATAGCATATTTGATTATAAATTAAAAGCACACTTAGAGATTTCTATAAAGGATCTTATATTCCTTTTGAACCTAGCAAAATTCTTATCATAAAATTTTTTCTAATACTTCTTAAAAATCAAATCTATGTACAGAAAAACTAATTTCACAGAAATTAAATGAACTAAATAACTAAGATCCTCATTTGTCGTTTTACCCTAGATCATTTGACATGTTTAGATGTGACCAAAAATAATGAAGAAATGTTTGGTCTGGTCTGGCCTTGACAAACCTCATAATAACTTTTCTTTGGTAAGGAAAGTACAAACTTAAACAATTTAATGCCCTAAATAGTTCTTTCTTTTTTTTTTTTAATGGTGCTAAGAATGGAACCTAGGGCCTCATGCATGGTAGGCAAGCATTTTCTCACTGAGCCCAAAGCCCTGAATATTTCTCAAAATCATACTGTAATATGATTGTACATAATGTGGTAATAGATTTATGCTCTTTTAAAATTTTCAAAACATGGCAAAGGCAACATATTCAGTCAAGCTCCGATTTGGTTCCAGTATCACAATATGTACAGCCTTTTAAAAACATAAACAAAATGAGAAGCAGGGTGATAGGGCATAATGAAGCAATTCTGGGCAACAAGGTGACAGACACCACTTGTTCATAAATGAAATTCAAGTAAGTGCCACCATGAACAGGTGTGCAAGGCTTGGCCTGCACTCCAGGGCTGGGGCTGAGGAATAGGATGTGTTCACATGAAGAGATGCTTGGCTTCCCAGACTCTGACATAATTAATGCCAGGATGACTGCAGTGTGCTCCCGGACTCCAGCAGATGAAAAGTCCCTTCTTGGGGTCGGCCATGCAAGAAGGTTTCGGGGATCTCCTGGGCCTTGAACAGGGCCTTGAAAGTTCATGTGAGATTCCAGTAAGCAGAGAAGACAGGAAAAGCTTCGTGCATGAAAAAGGCAGAAATTCTAAAAGCAAATTCTGACCAACAGTGAAAGTTATTCTGACCACAGAGGGGAACTTTCTGAAGCAAAATGGAAGAATAGAATGGAACGATCCCGACTAAAACGAGCATTATGTCAGCATATCCGATTTTTAGTGATGGAGATCTTTTGAAAAATTTCTGAAGAAAATAATGAAACTAGCAGGGCAAAGAAGCAGGGGAGAAGATGGGTGGAGGAGGACCACCAGGAGGTTGACTGACAGTTTGGGTTTGGTGGCATTTGCCTATCTGAGAACGATGGCTGAAGGAAAGGCAGATGGATAGAGTTTAAATTGGGGTTAACAGAATTTGGCTCTTTTTCTTGTATTACTATTTCTTTTGGTCATTTTCACTAGTTCTCAATACATACTATGAGTTTTATATGATCATTTTATAAGAAACAAAAAACTTGCAATAAAATCTTCATTTTTCTTCACACAGAGAAAGAGAATATGGGTGCTAATACAACCATTTTAGCAGCCCTTCCGTGGATTTCTGCCTATCATCTTCAAATAGTACAGAGAAGGTGCTAGAATGCACATGCCAGTATAATGTTATCTATTGAGAGTATAAAACTGATGGCTCTGAAGAAGCTGATTTAGCTCATACCTTTGCATTGAATTATATTTTTTCTCACCCATATTTAAAATCTCTGGTCATCCTGTTTAAAATCTCTACCTTCAAAAGTGTCCTCAGAGAGAGACCTGCAGCTAGATCAAGATTAGTCAACAATTAAAAGCAAAACAGAAACCTTAGTCAGACCATCCTGGCATTCTGCAATGGTACAGAGAAAGATAACCTCTTGTTCTCATCTTGATTGTACCCAAATTGCTAATTTTAGTCATGGGACAAAATAATATTTGGAAATAGACTCTGGTTACAGCCAAACTGGAAGAAGAGGTATAGAACCAGTAAAGATTAAGAAACCAAATGACCTAACTTTGAGTGATTTTGAACTGTATCCACTGATTTCTTTGCTCTCACTTTACCTGTTCTTTAAGTTATCTACCTTTTTCTCGCTTCTGTTTTTTTTTTTATCTTCTCTTTATTACACTGTGTTTATGATGCTTTGTTCTCCCCAGAAGAGTTGTCTTTTATCATTTCAGCCCTTAGGTTTGTGAACTCAGAATCTAATAAAGTAGATTAAGTCCATAGACCTCCCGTCTCTCCCCCTCCTGCAGCTCTCAAATATAGACCACACTTATGTGAATCCAACTGGTTTTTATAGTGTTGTAGGTATCTGTTTATCGGATGGACTAAATCTTTCCTAAAAAAAATGGAAGACTAACAGAACTGCAGTTAAAAACACTTTTATGGTTTCTCTTTAACATAGGATTTACCCTGTGCCTTTTCATTTCCAAGCTTAGAGAACTGAAGAGAATTTGTGATCTTTTCTGATGTCAGGGCTTTGGCACTCCAAATTCTTTGCCTTATCTCTTTTTAAATGTTGGTTCTCATTAAAAAAAGAAAAGTAAAAATCCATAGAGAAATGTTACAGAAGTCTTCCTAAATTATTCAAACAGCAGAGTTCCATATTATCACAAAGATGAATCAAGCACTCTGTACTGGTATATTATCCTCTCTACCTACTTGCAGGGGGTAAAAGCTGAACTATATTATGAGTTTCTTTTTCATGGTTCTGTAACTACTCAACTCAACCTACAGAATAAAAATAAGTAAAAGGAAATAAAGTTGAATATTATCCTCCAAAGATAATATACACATATACAATTAATCACAAGCAGAGATTAAATAATTTTCTAATATCCCTTCAGCTGGAATTCTCAATGTTCATAGAAGTTTGGGCCTTTGAGCACCAAATATATTTAAATGATTCTAAAATCTAAAATAGGGTTCCTAACCTGTAGTGCTTGTACCGGGGACTGAACACAGGGGCACTCAGCCACTGAGCCACATCCCCAGCCGTATTTTGTATTTTATTTAGAGATAGAGTCTCAATGAGTTGCTTAGTTCCTCTCTATTGCTGAGTCTGGCTTTGAACTCATGATCCTCCTGCCTCAGCCTCCTGAGCCGCTGGGATTTCATGTAGCACATTTTAAATGTTTCTATTTAATATTTAGAATTTCCACACGTTATTTAAGTCTCAATCACATATAAAGCTTATTACCCTTCTTCTCCATAACATATCTGCTTAGGCAGAAGCCAGGAATGGGCTTGATATGCTTTCATCTGCATCACTGCATCAAGATCTTCACACATATGTATTTGAAATGACTATATGAATAGCCACATTTGATGATACCTTCAAAAAGTCACAATTTGAGACCCTTCCAAATATGAGGCCCGGAAGAGCTTCTTTAGCCCAAACAAAGGGAAATTCAATGGCCCATGAACTCTAAGGAACTGCTCAGTCTATGGCATCACCCTCTATTCAATCCAACCTGAACTACCTCTACAGTTATACAATGCAGCATTTGGGAAATGTTTGAATAGTCAACTATGGTGTTGCAAAATCAGCAAACAAGTTTGGTGCAAGTTGACAAATGTATTGACTTTGCCATAGACATAAACAGAAAAATGCATTTCACTTCAGCTGACTAAAAAAAAAAAAAAAAAAAAAAAAGGCGAGTTAGGGGATAGTCCATTACATTGACAGTCTCTGTCTTTCCTCTTTGAAAGAGACCCGCCTCGTCCACATCAGTTCTTTTTTTTTTTTTATTGTTGGTTGTTCAAAACATTACATAGTTCTTGATATATCATCTTTCACACTTTGCTTCAAGTGGGTTATGAGCTCCCATTTTTACCCCAAATACAGATTGCAGAATCACATCAATTACACATCCATTGATTTACATATTGCCATACTAGTGACTGTCGTGTTCTGCTACCTTTCCTATCCTCTACTATCCCCCCTCCCCTCCCCTCCCCTCTTCTCTCTCTACCCCCTCTACTGACCTTCATTTCTCCCCCTTGTATTATTTTTCCCTTTCCCCTCATTTCCTCTTGTATGTTCTTTTGTATAACCCTGAGGGTCTCCTTCCATTTCCATGCAATTTCCCTTTTCTCTCCCTTTCCCTCCCCCCTCTCATCCCTGTTTAATGTTAATCTTCTTCTCATGCTCTTCGTCCCTACTCTGTTCTTAGTTACTCTCCTTATATCAAAGAAGACATTTGGCATTTGTTTTTTAGGGATTGGCTAGCTTCACTTAGCATAATCAACTCTAGTGCCATCCATTTCCCTGCAAATTCTATGATTTTGTCATTTTTTAATGCAGAGTAATACTCCATTGTGTATAAATGCCTCATTTTTTTAATCCATTCATCTATTGAAGGGCATCTGGGTTGGTTCCACAGTCTTGCTATTGTGAATTGAGCTGCTATGAACATCGATGTAGCAGTGTCCCTGTAGCATGCTCTTTTTAGGTCTTTAGGGAATAGACCAAGAAGGGGAATAGCTGGGTCAAATGGTGGCTCCATTCCCAGCTTTCCAAGAAATCTCCATACTGCTTTCCAAATTGGCTGCACCAATTTGCAGTCCCACCAGCAATGTACAAGTGTACCCTTTTCCCCACATCCTCGCCAGCACTTGTTGTTGTTTGACTTCATAATGGCTGCCAATCTAACTGGAGTGAGATGGTATCTTAGGGTGGTTTTGATTTGCATTTCTCTGACTGCTAGAGATGGTGAGCATTTTTTCATGTACTTGTTGATTGATTGTATGTCCTCCTCTGAGAAGTGTCTGTTCAGGTCCTTGGCCCATTTGTTGATTGGGTTGTTTGTTATCTTATTGTCTAATTTTTGGAGTTCTTTGTATACTCTGGATATTAGGGCTCTATCTGAAGTGTGAGGAGTAAAGATTTGTTCCCAGGATGTAGGGTCTCTATTTACCTCTCTTATTGTTTCTTTAGCTGAGAAAAAACTTTTTAGTTTGAGTAAGTCCCATTTGTTGATTCTAGTTATTAACTTTTGTGCTATGGGTGTCCTATTGAGGAATTTGGAGCCCGACCCCACAGTATGTAGATCGTAGCCAACTTTTTCTTCTATCAGATGGCGTGTTTCTGATTTGATATCAAGCTCCTTGATCCATTTTGAATTAACTTTTGTGCATGGCGAGAGAAAGGGATTCAGTTTCATTTTGTTGCATATGGATTTCCAGTTTTCCCAGCACCATTTGTTGAAGATGCTATCCTTCCTCCATTGCATGCTTTTAGCCCCTTTATCAAATATAAGATAGTTGTAGTTTTGTGGATTGGTTTCTGTGTCCTCTATTCTGTACCATTGGTCCACCCGCCTGTTTTGGTACCAGTACCATGCTGTTTTTGTTACTATTGCTCTGTAGTATAGTTTGAAGTCTGGTATCGCTATACCGCCTGATTCACACTTCCTGCTTAGCATTGTTTTTGCTATTCTGGGTCTTTTATTTTTCCATATGAATTTCATGATTGCTTTCTCTATTTCTACAAGAAATGCCGTTGGGATTTTGATTGGCATTGCATTAAACCTATAGAGAACTTTTGGTAATATCGCCATTTTGATGACCACATCAGTTCTTAATCCCACATATAAATGATGTAGAGAAAAGTATTACAAGTTCATTCCAGACTTCTGCTTAAACAGATATATTATGGTGAAGAAGGATTACAAGGTCTGTGAAACTTATGGGTAATTACAATTTAAATAATACATTGATATTCTGTTAAATTAAGAGTTCTTAAAAGCTTGCTTTAAAGAATGATTCCCAGCCTTTAAAATGCCTAGTTAAGAAAATAGCATGTCTAAGAGATGTATAATCACACAGATTATTACAGTGACACTTCCTAAACAGCTAAATCACCTTGTCAATTTCAGTTCTTTATAATGATTGCAATATTAATACAATACTGGGCTGAGTTGACTGCCTTTCTAATTAAGGACAATTGGTGGTTTTAAAAATTGCATTCTTCTTGGGTCACAATATATTAATTCCTCTGCTCTCTTTGGTATTCCCACCATCCTATTCCTTTGAAAACCAAATTTCTTACCAAAAGAATTTTGATTTTTGTAGCTTCATTAGAGCTTGGACTTTGTAATCCTGATGTCATCTGACTTGAATTTGAACTCTCAACAGTTCCTGAAGCTGTAACCCAATAGGCTGTTAGGGAGGAGCTGGGCTGGGAGCACTCAGTAGGGCTTTTGAAAAGAAGGTTCCCATCCCAAATGATGGTAACACCAAACTATGCTGTAAAAAACAGCATCCCTACTGACCAAAGACCTACTCTAGTTTGCCTTTTTAGTACCCTATTCAGAATGCTGAAATAAGAAATGCACACTCACCAAAACGCATTGTTCAAAGGAATCTGAGTGAAAAGAGAAAAAATAATTTCCTTTTCAGGGAACTTGGGATTTCCTGAATCATGCATGTCTCCTCAATAGAGGAGAAGATGGGTTTCTGTACAGGGCTCACTTCTACTGCTGGTGGGGGTCATGGTGCAACGCAGCCCTACACAGCACACTCACTGAGCGATGGGATTGTCCTTTGCTATAAGAATGGGCAGTGCCAGCTCTGGCACCATTAAATCAGCTTTTTGTTCTTTATGGGTTGCTTTAGTAGAGAATTATAATTCAGTTGCTTTAGTATAGAATTTAGTAGAGAAATTCCTGGAGGGCTGGGTATAAAAATGGTAACACCAGTCTTTCTTTAAATATAGCAAAGCTGACTCAGAAAAAATAAATATCTTGACCTTATTCAGTGGGACAACAGCAGAAGGGAGACATTCAGGCAGATGGTATATTTAGATTTGAGGATAGATTCAAACTTTGTCTAGACACCCAATTTATATTAGTTTTTAAACAACCTATTTTGTTTACCTTGATTAATAATAGACTGTCTGGTTCACACTAGGTACTGTATAAATATTGAATGAATGAAAGTCTTTATTAAAGACATTGATTCAAAGTGTGTGCATCCAACACCTTTCTAAAAAAAGAACTTATTTACAAGGTTGCAACAAGAGACATTCTAAGACATTCTAATTATTCTAATTGATGAGTTCTGTCATATTAATGCAATAGCTCCTTCTGCTCAGGGTCAATTGTAAAAGGGTAAAGCAAATGCTCCTGCTTATATGCAAGGATTTCTTAGTTCCTTTGGAGAGAGCTGCCTTCTTGGAATAGTAAGGAATCACTGAAAATCACGGGTTCACAGGAAAATAAGAACATAGGAAAATTATAACTTGTAAAATGTAAGAGTCAAAATCTCATAATAACATGATCCCTAAATTATTTAAAAAACTATGTATATAATATATAAAAATACATACAAAGAAAAAATACTTGAAATAACATATATCAAAATATTAATAGTGGTTGTTTCCAGAATGAGGAAAGGTAGATAATATTTATTTTTTGTCATCTACATGTGCTGACTGATCTTTAAAAAATATAGAATATTTTTGTTTTTCAGAAAATAACAAAGATAATTAGAACAAAACCTACAAAAATAAAAAGCTTCTCTCAGTTTTTTCAACAATTGTTAATCAATCCCAGCCATCAGCTAAACCTCTATTTTTAGTGAGAATATCTGGGGTACTTAACAAGCAAACAATCAACCCTTAAAAATTCTCTGATTCTGAATGGGCACTTATGAGCTATTTAGCATCTAGATAAAAAAAAATTATATGTGTCCAATTTGTTCCAGAAAGATGGATTGTTTCTTCCCAATCTGCAAGAGGTCTCAAAATACCATTGAGAAAAATGGAGGCCAATTTTTTTTTCATAATGATGGGAAATAATCAATTTCTATTATGGCATTATAAGCAGACAGCTTCACTTATTCATTCAATAAAAAATATTGAACACCTATGCCTGACTTTATGCTAGAAGCTAACACAAGTGACACTGTGGGGAGGGGGAACCAATTTCCTGCTGTCTCTCAAATGAATCTGTTGCTTAACTAGGCCATGATGACACAAGATGGTGCGTGAAATGCACTTGAGATCTAAGGGGTAGGAGAAGTCGGCTCCCAACTCAGTTTGATGGGGCAGGAAGACTTGTTTGAAGAGGTGACACTGGGCTCAAGCTGAAAGAGTAGACAGGAGTTCTCAGGAGGAATGGGATGGAGAGCAGACTGCAAGCAGAGAGGACAGCAACAGCAAGGTAAGGAGGTGAGATGGGCTCTTGGTTGCCAGGTGTTCCTGGGATGAGGAGACTCAAATGGAGCAGTCACTAGGGGGTCACAGGAGGCTTTGGGTACCATGTCTTTTTTTGTTGTTGTTGTTCAACTAAAATGAGTTCATAATAAGAACAAACAAATCCAGCTCACCAGTGCCTCATGGAGCTCAAGACTTCAGACACGTCAAGAACACGTTCTTTGTTAGAAATTGTGATAATCAAGGTTATTGTAAAAAGTAAACATCATCTACATAGCATGCATGAATTTTTCCCTGCTGTGCATCCTTAGAAAGAGGGCTTATGTGAACTTGGTCCCCTGCTCTGTGCTTGGACCACAAGGATTATTGTACTATAAATTAGCTAAGAACAGAAAAACTCAGGTTCATGAGGTAGATGCTCCCTGACTTATGGTACAATCATGACCTGATTAACACACCATAAACTGAAAATACATTTAATATGCTTAACCTACCAAACATTATAAGCTAGCCTTGCCTATTTGGAATGTGCTCACTCAGTTTAGCCTACAGTTAGACATTGTTAAGAATATCACACCACATACTGCTAGCCTGGGAAAAGATAAAAATCCAGGTATGGTTTCTACTGAATATATATCACTTTCACACCATCATGAAGTAATCATAAAGCAAAATATTGTATATTAAAAAGGAGCTAATCACAGGTCTTATAGGGATTAAATATTTAACTATGGATATCTTGATTATCTACTCCTTCCAAGATATTTGGAAATTATTTTTCAAGTAAGAACATATTTAAATTTTTAAAAATATTTACATTTTTTCTAATTTTAAAATTCACCTGAGGTTGATGCTTAAACAAATTATATGAACCATTTTCCAGTGACACACATGTCCTTCTTTGCAAGCATTTATATTTTCTAAATCTTCTTTATAAGGTGCAGTTTAGTGTGACAGGGTAACAAGTGGGCGAAGGATCTGTGTTTTTTTTAGGATGAGTGGTCTGATTTTTAGATGCACAGAAAATAATCATAGTGACTCAAGCAATTTAACTTGTGTTTTTTTCTCTCAAAAGTGTTTTCAAAAGTTGATGGTATTTTCTTTGGAGTTTGCTTAAGGCTTTTAGTATTAGCTTTTCCTGAAGAAGACAGAGAAGTTGCACTGCCTTTGTCTTGAAACTGTACCTACCCCCTCCCAACCAGCAGGAGAAGTCTTTGGACATGGTAAAGATCCCTAAGGCTGAAGAAGTTCTTTTATAATGCCAGTACTCAGCATGGGATTGGGGCTTCAATTCAAAAGGTACCTGAGTCAATTCTGACTCCATCAACTACCAACTGTACTATCAAGAAGTCAGTAAACTTCATTTCCTCATATAAAAATTGTAGATTATTCCTAGGGCGACAATAGGACCCTGGCAAGTAGAAATGAAAGTCGCACACTTATTTTTTGGCAGACCTTCTTTGTGCCAAGCCCTATTTTATTAATGAAAAAAAAAAAAAGAGAAAAATCTATAGCTCTAAAATACACTATAAATAAAACAGCACTTCCAAAGGATCAAATTTCTTTCTTCTCATGGAATTCCTTCTCCACTGTTTGGACTAAACAAACTTAGCAATGTAAATAAATGGTAACTCTACTTACACAGTGGCCAAAGAAATCTTAAAGTGGGTTATCCACTAGGAAAAGTTGTTGGACATAAAAATTCTATGTTCACAGGAAATTCCAATTTTAATTTTTCAATTTAATTCTCCTCATCAAAATTTTCACTAAAAGATGAAGAGTGGAATGAATAGCCTTTAGCCCTTTTTTGTTTTCCTTTCCTGTCTTCAGCCATTAATCAACCTTATTCAATCAGCGTATATCTATGATGCTCCCTAACAGGGCTTATCAGGGTCTTCATGCCTTGAGGCTTGCTTTCTGCTTGCTGATTTCTGGTTGTATTTCATTCCAACTGACCATAAACCTTAGAGTAATTAGGGAGCTTTATAGTCAAGCTGACATACACAAGAATTCTGGCAATATTTACATATAATTATGTTCCATGTATGAAGAGAGATCTAGACATCTATGTTTTTATTCTTATCTACTAGGAGGTATAGTACTTTTTTTTTTTTTCCCTGTTCAAAGAAGCTCAGTTTTTTATCCTCTGGCTCCCATGTGATGGTCCTGTAAATGCATTATTGTTTTCTCCTGTCATTTCAAACTCATTATCAAATATGGGGCACCCAATGAAATGCAGAGCACATGCCTCTGGAGTCCAAATTCAAGGATTCAGATCTGACCTCCACTCTGCTGCCAATCTGCTGAGAGATTAAAAAAGGTCGAGTTAATCCTTTGTTCCTTTTTCCTGTTTCTGCCTCCTACAGACCAGACTGAAATGTATTTGTTTATATCTGTCCTTCTAGACTTTCAAGTCTTCAAAAGCAGACACTGTGTCTTATTTACCACACATGAGTCAAACAGTATAGATTCAGGAGTTTGTCTGCCTAGACTTAAATCCGATTTCAGTCACTTATTAACTTCCTGACTTTGGGATGAGTTGTTTGCCTTTTCTTGTTTGACTTTTCTGTTTGCCTCAGTTTCCATATCTACAGAAAGGAAATAATAATAATGCTTACCTCACACTGCTCTTATGAGGATTAACTAAGTTAATATTTATACAGCATTCAGCGGAGTGTCTGGAACATAGAGAAGATTATATCTAAAGAATTGCCTCTAATGTCAATGTCTCATGTGGTGCCTACTTCATAAACCTCTGTTGAAGAAGGAGATTAAATCAGAGTGGGAATATTCTGGAACCTAGTTTTCTCTTTTAAAACTGGATCTAATAAAAAACATATGCAAGGTTACTGTGAGGATTAAAGGAGATACTAGGTATTAGGCATTATAAATTTTTATTGATATTTTTTATAAGAGTGATGTGATATTCACAAAATTGATTAGATAATTAAATTAGTTTCAACACTTTTTGCTTGGAAGTGTATTATTACTGTTTATTAGACCATTATTTCTCTTGTTAAACTTATCGATTAGTACTGCTGCCAGCTAGAAAAGGACAGATTTTTGACCCTGACTCATGGAATCTCAGAAAACAACCTTGTAATAAGACACAGTTTGCAATATGTGTTTGCTTAACATTAACCAACCTGTGAAGCTGAACAGCACCATGGTACAATTTACCCCTAAATCCGTCCTTTAGTCAGTGTTTAAACATGCAAATGTATGGGTAGATTTTAGGGGGGTTGGTTTGATCTTGCTTTGGGTTATTGTTCTTTTTGGTGAGATTGACAGATCAGAAGACTCAAAGATGTACCAATGCACATTTTCCAAATGCCAAAGTAAGTGACCTACATTTTGCTTATACTCTAAGATTCGAAATTGCTGAACATGTCAGTACTCATTCCCAAATTGGCTGGCCACACTGGTTTGGTGTCATTCACAGTCAGCTGAATCAAATGTAAGAACTTTTTAATCAATATGAATGGGTGCATGGATAAGTTAGCTTACATGAATCAATATGGTTCTCTCTAAGGCAGCTTCTTGACCAAGCACATAATTGATGGGCATCTTTTAGCTTTGATACAGGGAAGTCTTACATATATGCTACTTTCCATTAACATGAGGTTAATCTGGATAAGACTGCTTAGAATTTGAGTTGAAGTCTGAAAGATTATGGTGTCACATCCTTTATTAGATCCAGTTTGACTCATCCTTTGAAATACAGAAATGAAGGATTTCATTCATTTCAGTGTACAGAAATAGCTACGATACTATGGCTTTGTGCCACATGAATTAAATCTAAAATGCTTACCAAGAGTAAAGCTAACATGTTTAAAAAACGATTTTCTTTCAAGGCTTTTCATTACCTCACATAATCACATTTATTTATTCTATGTTATGATCACTAATATTATTTGAGAATAATTAACTACAAAATACACATCAGATAACATGTCTCAGTTAAGTAGATTTGGGGACAAAATGACTTTTCAAGGATTCTAAGTGGCCAGAGGGTCAGTAGCTGGTACATAAGATAATGCAGGCAAAAAGCTACACACCTGGGATATAAATAAAACATAAATAAGTATTTGTTATTTCTGGCTGCATACTTTTAAATAAGTAAACCACATAAAAGAACCTAGGTACTTAATATTTTTATGGACATTTACTAGCAATAGATTATTTTTGATTCAGAATAGTGATAAAATATGAAATTACTAAATTCCAATTCAAAAATTTTATTCCATTTCCCTGGCCAAAAACTAAATGGCAACTTTAATTCCTAAGCCTTCTGGCAAAAGAATGGTTCCCAAACTTTTGATATTTGTAATGTTGACAGATCTATGGCAAACTGGCTCCATTTAGTAGGCCCCTTAAAATGTCACCATCTTGGGCATTAGCACTTGTTGCCTTGTTAACCAGTTAAGGAGTTAACATTCCAGGTCTAGAAAGCTCTGAAAATATATATCTATATATTTATAAGAGAAATGCAGACATGGTCTACAGGCCTCCAGTGCGACTCTGGAAGACTCTGGTCTGCTGCAAGGTCTATTTACTCTGGTCTGATATTTAATAGACTATACGGACTTGCCCTAGCAACCAGTGCAGCACAGAGTTTATACATATGTGTTTCCAAGATAAGGAGACTATTTTTAAAAAAAAAAGAAAAAGAAGAAAGAAAGAAAGAAATTACAAATATGTTTTAGTTATACCAGTACAGATTGGATATTCTACAAAGTGGAAATATGCACAGTAAAATCTTAATACGAGACCAGAGAATATTTTAAATCCGTAACTTAGAATATTTCTAAGTATTTGCTATTGTTATTGTTTTTAACAAAAAGAAATTAGAGTTTAAATATATTAGGATGGCAGCAAAGAGCACACAACCAGAAAAATATGAGGATTTAGGTTAATGATTATCACTTTAGAAAAGAACATGATATGTAAATAGAATATCTTATTTTTATTCTGCCTGACATTTTCTGTATGTTTGAGATTTATTTGTCAAAAGTAAATCTTGAGGAACTTTAAGAAAAAAATAAACAAAATCCTTTGTTTCTGAAATACAAAACCCTTCTTCTATTTTATTGTAGGAAAAGCGTTTGTGCTTTATAATATAGTGGGCTTTCTGTTCATCCCAGCTGGTATGTTCAATGGACCAAGTCCTGGGCAACCTGAGTCCCACCACACTCAGCTACTTCTTGACTTTCCCTTTTGACTATTTCTTGACTTTTAAAAAGTGTGCTTCCTACATTTGTTTTTCTCAGTTTAAACTTGGTGGAGAATAAAGGGACAATTTTTTTAAAGTATTCACATTAGTTATTGAACTGGTTTTCTAATCTTTTATAAATCAAAAGAATTCACAAAGCTAGAAATTCTGAAATATACCTGTGCAAATATGCATATTCCTCTGTGTTTGTGTGCACGTGCTTGTGTGTGTATGCATGTGTTATTTGTGTTTGCCTTATTGAGAGAATTACAAAAGCGGCATCAATAGACTTTTCATTTTAATTCTGGTCAAATGTTTTAAAAAGTGACTATGTACAGAATAATAGTTGAGAAGAATTGGGAGATCTTGGTATAGAATACCTCTTATCAGTTGAGAAAATAAAATTCCTGAAAAGTCTGTGACAGGAGAATTTGAGGTTGAATAACTTAATAGTTTATGAGGAAGATAGAGTATACAGAGTTGAGTCCAAGACTAAAGTATTTTTCTATATATAAAAATTAAAATAATATTTTTACACACTTTTAAATGGCAATAGTAAATACGATTATATTTAAATTTACCACCTTTTTTCAACAAAAACTTCCAAGGTCTTTCTCTCCGACAGCTTCAATAATTGCAAACCACTCCTTTGCTGTGAATAAACAAACAGATACCGGGGACATTCTGTGGTCTTGTTCCACCAAAATATCCAATGCCTTTCTGAACTCATGGCATAGAGGGGTTGCTTTCTACCTCCCAGTGTGGACCCAGAAACAGGACTAATTTGAATGCTCAACATGAAGAAACTTCTAGAAACATTAATTTATTTACTAGGTTTAGATGTGAGATATTTCTTGAGCCTGATCCTTTGTATCTCAAAGCAGATTTTTTTTTAAAAATTTGAAACATGAAAAACTATATCACAAGGCATGAATTGCCAATCTCTGTTGGTCTGTCACATTAGGCCTGTGGCAAAGCAGAACATCATGGTGAGAAGCATGTGGTGCAGCAAAGTCTTTCATCTCATGGCAGCCAGAAAGTAAAGAAAGACATAGGAAGGAGCCAGGATCCCAATATCCCCTTTGAAGGTACGTCCCCAATTACCCAACTCCTACCACTAGGCTCCACCTCCTAAAAGTCCCACCATCTCTCAAAGGGCCATTGGGGGTAACCAAGCCTTTAGCATATGGGTTTTTGTGGGGCACTTTAGATCCAAACCATAGCAGATACTATTTATAAAGCAGTCTTCAGGTCTTTGTGACTTGAACCGGAGAGCTCAGCATGATAGCTGAGGCAGACAGAAAAGGGTGAGCAGATTTCATGTAGGAAGAATGTGTGACTTCTGACAGAAGAGAAAGGATCCCAGGAAGGAGAAATGGGATCAGAAGTTTGACCCAAGTAACACCAAAACAAAAGGCATCTACTTGAGCTAAAATGAAATGTTTACATAGAATTTGGCTGAGGTTGACCTTGACTGACAGGTTGAGGAGTTTAAACTTTAAGAAATTTTGAAATAAAGAATAATGTAAAGCATTAAATATTTCATTCTTCAAAGTGTGTATATTGCTAGAATGTTACAAACTAGTTTGAAAATAATTATACAACTAATACTTGATCTTTGTCTACATCCATATAGTAAATGCGACATTTCTATTTTACTTCAGAAAACTCTATTTCTTCTTTTTGAATGAAGTGGTTTAAAAGAAAACAACCACCCTCCCATGATCCTTTAGAAAAATCAATGCCTACAATGTTGGAAACACAATCAATATATTTACATTTCCTAGCACACCTTCCTAATGGCTGTAATCATTAGTCAAATAAGTAAACAGCAAAACATGAAAGAGGTTAACAAAAGTCAGTGGGCTTTTATTCAGTCGCCTGACTTGCAACAAAGTAGTTTCTCCCTCAAGATTACAGGACTAAGTTAACTACCCTGCCCATGCTGAGGGACCTTTGGACCACACACACGCTCAGCAGCTATGCCCCAGAAGTGTCACTGCAAAGTGACACAGGTATCTAATGTTTACTCAAAATAAATCATAAAGAAAGACAAGACTAAGAATTCAATTGCATCTTGCAAGATTCAGAAAAGCAGACTGCCTGTAAAGGAGTTATAAATTACTTTAGCTGTGACAATTCTTCATGTTTAGATCTTAGAACCATTCTCTACCTATCCTTTGTTCTCTGGCAGGGTGTAGGATAAGGAATATTCCTCTGGTAACAGAAATCATTAAAATGAAGAATTAAGACAGCGCACTGAGTTAGATGCAAGACTAGTCAGGGTTCCAGACTGATAATAGGTTTTTATTCTGTGACTTAACAACATGACTCTGAAAGTCCAGAATGTGAAATTCTAAAAATGCAAAGAAAGGGTTATTTGCAAACTCTTTGAATCATAGTGGGTATTTTCTTCTCCCCTCTGCTGATGGGGTGGGTGTGGTGAGGGAGCTTTCCAGTGAGCACTGGCTGAAGGAAGGGGTGGAGCCTAAGGCGTCTGCACACCATCCTGCAGTAACATACTTTCCCTAGCTAGTGGCAGCTTCCAGTTTTCAGATTGCTCAAGCTTTAGTGCATATGGGAAGGATAACAGCTTCCACTAAAATGAGACAAATACTGAGAAATGTAGGTAGGTGGGTGGGGCAAAGGGCCAGAATAGTGTTATCTGACAGTCTCCAAGAACATCCTGATCTTGATAGATGCCCTTGGGCTAGAGATGCTGTTTTGTGTTCTTGGTGACTGCTGTCAACCCAAAGAGCTACTCTTTGTCATTTACAGTCATGCCTATTCCTCAGGTTTTTTTTGTTTTTTTTTTTGGTCAGGTGATGTGACAGAGCAAAGGCTGACAGGAATTTTCCTAAGGCAGAGGCTTTGTTTTTGTTAGTTTCAGGAAACCTGAGTTGTTTAACGAAAGGTAACCATCAAAGAACAGATTGCCATAAGGATATGAAAAACTTCCAAGGTACAGGGTTATGCCTTATTGTCTGAGTACATAAATTTCTCTTTCCTTTTCCTTTTCTCCTTTTTAATCCTTCAGTGATCAGTTTTATTTATTTCTTTATTTTTGGTCCTGGGATACAAATCCGGGAATATTTTACCACTGAACTACCTCCTCAACCCACTTTCCCCCGCCCCCCCCCTCCCTTTTTTCTTTTGAATCAGGGTCTACTAAATTGCTGAGGGTCTGGCTAAGTTGCCAAGGCTGGACTCAAACTTGCAATCATCCTGCCTCAGCCTCCCCAGTCACTGAGATTATGGATGTGCGCCACTGGGCATAGACAGGGGTCTGTTTTAAATTAAGGTACATTACACATTCTTTCGCACTATAACACACAAATGCCATTTTGGAAAGAAAAACTTGTTCAAATTGTGTCCTCCCACTTTCCACCTCATCAGGTGAAATTCAGTCCCATTGAGTGTCAAATAAGTATCTCCATAGATTAAAAAAACAAAAAATACTCCTAGAACACTACTCAAAAATGAAAAAAAGACAAAACTATTGGTTTACAGAAAACTTTGAATGGATCTTTAAGAGCATTAAACAGAGAGAAAAAAAATGCAATCTTATTTTAAAATAAAACAGTAGTATTCCATGATTCCATTTACATGACATTCTCAAAAATGATAAAAATACAGAATCAGGAAACATATGGTTGCCAAGGGTCAGGAGGAGAAGGTGGGTGTGGCAATAAAAGGGTGGTACAAGGGAGCTCTTCATGGAGATGGAAGTCCTGAATCTTGAATGGAGATAGCAGCACAAATCTACACATGCAATAAAATGACACAGAAGCTACACACACACATTGTACCAATATCAATTTCCTGATTTTGATACTGTACTGAAAGTATGTCGATGTAACTACTGGAGGAAACTGGGTAAAAAGTATATGGGGGACTGGGGATGTGGCTCAAGCGGTAGCGCACTCGCCTGGCATGCGTGCGGCCCGGGTTCGATCCTCAGCACCACATACAAACAAAGATGTTGTGTCCGCCGAAAACTAAAAAAAACAAATAAATATTAAAATTCTCTCTCTCTCTCTCTCTCTCTCCCCTCTCTCTATCTTAAAAAAAAAAAAGTATATGGGGCCTCTCTGTGCTAGCTCTGCAACTTCCTGTGAATCTATAATGATTTCAAAATAAAATTTTAAATATATATGACAACCAACAGCATAGACTCCTCTATATAGAAAGAATGATTAAATACAGCAGAATATTTAATCATTTAACCAGCCACATATGCTAAAGAGGTGTTAAACTTACTTTTCTTCTTCTTTTTTTTATTTTTTAAGTGTGCTGTTACTAAAGAATTGCCTCAAAAGAGGAATAAACATGTTTTGGGGACTATAACAGAGCAGCTCTTCCTTCCAGCCTTCTCAACCATTTGAACGCTTTCCCACATTCACAAAGCGAGGTTGCAAAGATCAATCTTTTAAGTACTAAATCATTTTAACAAGAAATGATTGGTCATACAACCCATGTATTACAACCCTCCTATATGCAAAAAACTTCAAACAAGACCATAGTATGTGGACCCCATATAGCTTGTTTCTTAAAACCACGAGCCTCCACAGCCTCCGTTTTTAATGAATCCTTTCCTTTCCCCTCCTTTTTCAATTCACTTTCCACTCTCAACTCCCTTCCTCCCTCCCTCCCTCCCTCCCTCCCTCACTCATTCACTTATTCGCCTAGTCCCTGTCTAAATCGCCTGATCCTAGCAAAAGAAGCAGGCTGACCTGTGTGAGTGCAGTGTCCCCAGCCAGCGGCCTCTCGCAGTGTCCCGGGGCGCCGCCTCCCAGCTCAAGTTCCCCGCGCACCCCCGCGGCGCATGCCCCACAGTCTGCACTGCCACGCAGCCAGGGAGCCACAGGCCACAGCGCGCCTCCAGCAACCGACACTGCACACATTGGTGCGTCGGGCCAGCTCTGGGTCGAAGTTGCCTTTAGGTGAACTATCTCTTTTTTTTTTTTTTTTCTTTTCTTCTTCAATATTTTTATAGTACCCGGAGTGTACCCAGTGTTATAAAAATTATTACAAAACAAAGAGCAAAGTCCCTGTCCTGAGGAGTATGCAGATTAAAAGGAGCGAATGACGCACGGCAAAATGACATGATAAACATTGGGTGGGTGAAAAGACTTTGCGCGAAAGGTAAGGTAGACTCAATCAGACTTTCATGGACCGAAAAATGGAAAGGCTAAATCAGGACCCAGATCACTACTGCAGATTATAGAAATAAAGATTTTCAATAAGATTTGGAGAAATAATATATGATTGTTTTTCACATGCCAGGCAGTGTCGTCGTGATCATTTCATAAGGTAGGTACTACTATGTCTAATTGGGAAACTAGGGTTTCTGTTAATTGTTTAACAAACAAGTCTATTGTCACTCATAAGAGTGCCACATACAATTCCAAATACTTTGCAAATATTAACTCATTTGCTTCTTGTAAAATCCCTGTGAGGTAAGAACTGTTATTTCTCCCACTTTACAGATGAGGAGTGAAGCAGTGAGGTTAACTAACTTGCTCAAGGGTCACTCAGGTAAAAAGTGGGAGAGCCAAAATTTGAACCCAGAGACTTCAAATGATTCAGCCAAACTCACAACCTGAACTCAGATTTCTGAACTCAGAAACAGCTCTAGGATGGCACTGGGGCTCCTATCTGGGGCACTAGGGCACTGCCACTCCCAAGCCTGCATCCTTAATCATGAGCAATAATCCACATTAAATAAATAATTTAATTTTAAAATATTTCCACTGCCAACAGTGCACAGGCATTTAATTGTTAAATTTTAAAAAAAGTGTATATTGGAAGAAAAATACTATCATTAAAAAGGGAAAGAGGCAGATGTTCCTTCCTTCCTCCCTCCTTCTCTGCCTACCTTCCTTCCTTCCACAAGGAAGTGTGTGTGCCTGTGCCACACACTGGAGAAGGCAGTGGGTAACAGGAGTGAACAAAAGAGACAAAAATGAAACAAACAGGGGAACTGAAGATGATGTTCATTTTAATGACAGATACATCCTAGATCGGTCAGGAGCCACAGCATGACATAACCAACAGGAACTAAGGGAACATTTCACTCATGTCATACAGGGAATGCCATCATTCTCTGAGCTGGACAGTCCTTCATGAGTATTATTTAGTCCTTTTTTCACTTCCTCTCTTATTTCCTTCATTTTAGTTATGACAGAGGAAAATATACTATCAAAAACATTTGATGTAGACAGCTGCTGTTAACATTGCAAGTAATGCTTTGGGTGGCAGAGGCAATAACAATAAGCGTGTAGTGAGTGCCTCCTATGCACTGAACTTCATCTAAGCATTTACATGTGATAATGCATTTAATCCTCAAAATCCCATGAGGTGGATGGCATTATGATTCTGATTTTACAGATGAGTAAACTGAAGCTCAGAAATATAAAGATATCTTCCCAAGGATTTAATGCTAAAATGTGTGGAGTATTTAATCTACTAACTGAAACTATGTTTTGAGTAATTTGTAGATATCATTTATTCTCAGAATTTCCTTCCTAATAACGTTGTGATCAAGGGTGTTTTATAAGTGTGAATGTGGTAAAGACCCACAGACCTCTGGGCCTACAATGCAAAATGGTATATAAAATATCCTTTAAAAAAGAAGAGACACTGGGAGTTAAATTTTCAAAGTAAGTTATGAAAAGGCAAAAATCTTAACTGGCATAAACACTCTACTGTGGAGATAGGCGGGTGATGTTATTCACTGTTACAGTCTTACTTCCTGACTTTTCTATAACACACTAAAATTAAATATAAAGCCACTAAAAAAACTAAAATCAGGAATGAAAACACCCCCAGTAGTCCCCCAGAAAAACCGAATAACTTTGTTTGGACATCTTTTCTGTGTTGTGTAGATTGTATCCACACTAGAGTAGAATATACCCTCAATAATAAGAAAAATAATTTGGCATTTCCAAACAGTAGACAACAAAGCCTAATCTTCCCATCTGAGCATAGGTTTAAAAATTCTAACATTATATGGAGTCTAAAAATCTATACATTGTTATGAGGCCATAATAAAATGATGAAATGATAAAATGTATTGCTATCCCTGTATTTAAATATTCTGTTTTGTTAGCACAGGTCACTTCCAAAATCCAAGGGAAGGGCAGATCAAAGGGACATTTACAGAGAGAATGCCCAGGGTCCTCCCTGACCATACTCAACCCCATTCTCTACTCCTGAGTACTGAACTCCTAAATTCCTAAAGTGTCTCTGACATTCTTTCTTTGTTCAGGGAGGTCTCTTCATTGAGGGTCCTCTTCCCACTTTCTCCAATTCTTTGTCTATTATTTCTGCCTCAAAACCTGCCTGAGGCAGTGATTCAAATAATTCTGGAATTATTCCCTGACCAATTATAAAGCTAGATTTTTATGGTAAAGTGCTCAAATCTGAATTTTCCCTGGTCTTTATCATTATGTAGAGCAACTGTTTACTTGTTTATTCTTTCTTCTACTAGTCTACTTCATAGTTCAACAAATATTTCTTGAGCACCTAGTGTTATCCCAGCACCATGCTAGGTGTTAGGGCTATGTTTCCTGGAAGATAATGATGTTCAATGATTATTCTCGGAATGAATGAGTGGAATTAGGTCATTATATAAATAGCAGGAGGAAGACCAGAGGAAGATTAGCAGGTCACATGAAAAGGATTTTTTTTCCATTTCTCCCATTGCTCAAATCCTATGTTGTGTAACAACATTTCTAACCCTCTTATTTTCTTAAGTTTTTGTCCTCCCTCCCAATTATCTATATTTTTCTGCCACCTTTACTGTAATAAGCAGGAGCTTTGATTTGAGCAGACTTGGTTCTAATGTCACTTCCTAGTTGTTTGACTCTTGGCTCCCTTCCTTAACTACTCTGAGCTTCCATCACCTGCTCCATAACAGGGAGATAACAAATACCTATAGCAGAAAGTACTATGTGAAGATTAGATGAGATTCACATGTGCAAAGGGTTTAATAGCACAAAGCCTGGCTCTTAAAAGACCTTCCTCTCCTTTCTTGAGTGTCACCCCTCTTCCACCCCTGTCCTTCCTATAGGGTAGATGGAAGCACCTTTTTAGAGGCTGTATTATTGTCTTAATATATTAATATTTTGATGTACATCAAGAATATGCAATTAGACATCAAACCTTTGGGCTTTTTAAAGTAGAAATCATCATTTTGGATATGTAAAAAGCAAAAATAAAGGGGGGATTACGTTTTTAAAAATGGAATAAGGAGAAAAAAAGAATTAATACACAGATGCCTGAAAAACACTACTGAAATGAGCAAAGACAATGCCATAAAAAAAGAAAACACCCAAGTTCACAAGTGGCTGCTTATTGTGCTTGTCCTTAGTGTTCCACTAGCTCACATAAAACCACAAAGGTTTAGATACGTGGGTATACTATCCATTTCTCAAATGTCATTTATTGTTAAACTCCAAGATCACATCTTTGCCTCTCTTAGGATTGAATTAGTCTGTAACATACCAAGAAGTCATTTTCTAGGGTGATCCCTAGAAGTTACTTGTCCAATTGTGCCCATGATAAAGTATAAAGTCAAAGAGATTTATTCCTTTACATTTAAGAACAATTAATGCCCAAATAAAATTTCCAGAAATGTTTGTTTCTCGCATTTCTATACCTCCATTTCCTTATCTGCAAAATAGTACAATCATAGACCCTCTCTCATAAGCTGGTCAAATAGTAATACAAAGGAAGTAGTAACAAGAAGAAACCTAATTACCATGTATGTGTGAGCCATTACCATCATTAATCTAGTAAAGTCTGGCCTCCAGCTCTCCTATGGCAGCAGCCTTCAGAAACAATTCTTTTTCCCTTCACACAAGTCTCCTAGCTTTTTATTGTTTTGTGACAAATTATCCCAGTAAAAGTTTCCAGTCTCTGAACACATATGGTACTTTCAGTTTGGGAAGATTACATATTCTCTTCAGTGTCTCTATCCTTACAGATTTTTATCAAAAACATAAATTTTCTGTGGATTCATTTGTTAAAATTTGAGTCTCTCTCCCCTTCTCTCTCCTCCCTTCCCACCTCCACAATTCTTGTGTTGCATGAGAAAGTCTAACAATTTTACTACTTTTTAAAAGTGGGAACAACAACAACAACAACAACAATTAGAGGCTGATTTCCTCACCCCACAATCCCCCAACAATGAAGGTCCACAAAAAGGCAACTGAAGCAAACCCTAACCACATAGCTTCCAGGCCCTGGAAATTGTGACACAGGTGTAAGATTTTTTTTTTTTTTTTTTTTTTACAACATAAGGCAATCTACTCGTAATGATCGTAATGATCATGTTTGAGCCCTCCGAAGCAAAGAAGGATGGCTATACAACAAACAAACAAACACCAGCAAATGGGCAAATGGGGAAGGAAGCGATCCAAATTTAAGTCCTGGTGGGGTCCCACTTCCCCTTTGGGCCAGAAGCTGAGCTTCCACGTGGATAACCAGGGGAATTGATCCAGCCCCTTTGGGGGATGAGACACAGAGAAGGGGGTTGGCTGTGAGAAGTGCCAGGCCCTGGCTACTCCAAGGCGGCTTCTAAGCTTCATTTTCTATTTAAGTTCCCCTCCCCACCTCATCCCAGACATGCAGGGTGATGTACCTTTTGCTCTGAGAACTAGATTTCAAGCTCCAATTCTCCTCTCTTAAAGGGTCTATCATGATCTGGGGCTTGGGATCTCCAGGCCTCAGTCTAGTTTCTCAAGTCCCCTGCAGACACCCTGGCATAACCATGACCAGGTTTCCCTCGCCTGAGTTTCCCAACTTAGTTCACCCCTCTTCCTCCACTCAACCCAGCAGCCCGGAGCGCCTCTCCTGAGCTAGCCCAGGCGCGGATACAGAATGGGGCTTTCTGGCCACCTCTCCCAGGTGGATGACGACGAGTTGCAGGAAGATTCGCTTCTCCCTCAACCCCCATCTCGCGCCTGGGCCAGGGGGCCAGGGTGCAGCGTCCACCTGTACCAACAGTAGACAAAGGCTCGCTTTTTGTGCGCTGCCCTCGGAGAACAGCTGTTTGTTTGCCGCGCTCACCTCCCGCCTCTCCCCGAACTGGAGGTGCTCCCTGCTCACCTCTCCTGGGGCTTCCTGAGTCCAGCTCCCTTCCTTCATTCCATTCCTTCCCTCCTTCCTCCATTCGCTACTCCTAGCTCTGCCTTCCTTTCTGCCCTTGTTCCCGCCGATCTGGCCTCTTACCACTTCTCCCCCTCCTCCCTGGACTTCTCGTCTCTTCTCTTCATCCCCCGGACGCCCCCTCGAGCCCAGCAGCCTTGGACTCGGCATTTCTGCATCGCCCCTCCCCTTGGCTCCAACGCGCAACAGGCTCCCAAATCCGGGGGTGCTGCTCTGCGGCTAACCCTCCTACTACCCCAAAATGAGTCCCCGGACCCAGAACCGCTTAGCCTTCCTCTAAGGCAAGAGAGACTCTGGGAAGTTCCCCAGGCTAGGACTCCCCCCACCCGGAGAATCACACTGGCCATCGGGGGGGCCCCAGCTGTTAGGGACGCCGGGTCTATTTTAAACCGTGCACCCAGTGTCCCCATCCTGAGGACACGGGCACGGGTCCAACGACTCGGGTAACACCTAGCCGGCAATACCCTGAGGGGACGCGAAACCGCTCCCCTAGCGCGGTGGGACCCCTCAGCTAGACAGGCTGCGTGGCCACAGCAGTGGAAGGCGGTCCCGATACAGCCGACTCTAAACCCCAGTGCCAAGGGAATCCCCGGCCCGGGCAGGCACGGGATGCCCCATCCCCACCCCCACCCCAGCCCCATAGGCTACCTTGGCATAATCACCTCCCTTTGGAAAGTGAGTCCCGCAGGAGCCTTTCCAGGCAATCTCCTTCCTTCCGCGTGCCGGGTTGACTTTATTTCAAGTCAATCCAGTCATTAGCCTGCAATAGCCCACCCAGAGTGTGGTCTTTTGGAAAGTAAGAAGAACTGGGAACTATCGACAACTTGAGAAGAGCCACGCCGCTTAACTTAAGCCCCAGACGGCTAAAAGACAGGGCTGCACACGTGTGCGTGTCCCGGTGCTAACACACTAGCCTATCCAGGCTAGTACCCAACCACAAGTTTACACACCAACAAGCTCCAAGTTTAACAGAAAATGTGCAAAATTTCACTCACCCGCCTCTTTTTCTACCCTCTTCCGATTGGAATCCAGGGGAAGTATCGGAAAAGGGTGGATTGAAAGACCCTTCCTTCTTTTCTTTTCGCCTTTCTAAAGAGTGGAAATTTCCATCATGTGATAGGGGGCAGCATCCCCAGTGTCGCGTTTCCTGCGGACCCTCCCTTCCAGACCAGCCACCAATCGTCGGGCGGCAACCTGAGATGTAAACAAAAGCATCCTCCCAGGTGGGGCCGAGTAGTCCAGCTGTCCCCCTAGAGAACCCTGGAGCTCAGTCCCTGCTACCTCTTTCCTGGGTCCCTAATAACAGAGAAGAACTTAGTGTGAGTTTATTTTTAACGGTTAGTTTTCTTCACTGTTTAAAGTGCGTTTATTGCCTGTTCCTATGTGCAGGAATACATGTTGATCTTCAGAGGGTTCAGGGTAGGTGAAACAGTAAAGTTCCACAGTTTGGGGGGCAAACTTGAACTTTACCTAAAGAAAAAAAAATATGGAGAAGGAATACAAAATTAAAAAAAAAAAAAAACAACCTGTTATTCACTGTAAAAGTCACTTCATTCATGAGCAAAATGGGACAACTGGCTAGTACTCACCAATGGGTCTTTTGTGGGAACTTCTCCACACCCCTGGAATTCTAGATCAAGCATAATCCTCAATATATATGAAGAAGAAATTAGGCTATAATAAATAACACTTCAATTCTGCTTGTTAAAGTTTCTACCTATCATCCTAAAGAAAACTAAGTAAAACCACAGTCTGATGTTTGGCAAAATTCTTGTTTCAAAGAAAGGCCTATGTAACAAATATGCTCAGAATCCTGTTTATTTAGTAGTCAGTTGTCATTCTTTAGGGGGAAGAAAATCACCAATGGTGACCTGACCCACAGTTGAGCAAAACTCAACAGGGAACACGCACTACTTTCTGAATTCTCACACATCCAATTTAACTTTATTCAGAATGGTGAGTCTCACCGTTTATCCATATCATGAACACCTAGTACCTTCTCATTCATTTCATAGTTTCCAATACCTGTAACACCAGCTGCCCCTTATCACTTAAAAAAAACACAGTAACAACAGAAATACACCTGGATGATGTATAATAATCAGGAACATTGAGACCCTTATGTTAAAGGAAAGAAGCCAAACTCAGAAGGTCAAGAACCATGTATTTTCCCATGTGGAAACTGAAACAAAAAAAGGAAAAGAAAGGTGGGTTTGGAATAGGAATCTCATGAAAACCAAAGGAGGATTAGAAGAGGAAAGGTGGGAAGATTAGGGAGGAAGAGATGGGAAAAGGGGAGGAAGGGTGAAGTGCTGGGGAGTGATTTTGGTCAAATTATATTGTTATATTGTGTGCATGTATGAATATGTAACAATAAGTCCCACTGTTATGTAGAACTATAATGCACCAATAAAGATGTGAAAAGAAAAAAATACAAAAACACTACCTTAACACACACACACAGAGACAGACATATATACACCACATACACACATCAGATTAGACTAAAACCATCCAATAGTGCAAATTCAATAGCAGGATGAGGCAATACATACTTTCATGTACCATTTTGGAACTTTAAAAAAAATAGGAGAAATGCTTAGTTTTATAAATTGATTAGCTTCCCTGACCATATATGATATGCCTTTTCAGTTTATCATAACAAGAAGTTTACATATATCAGAATAATTTAAAGTACTTTTAAGCTTGCTAAAAGCAACTGTCTTTAAAGTATCATGGTTCTACATGGATTCTTTTTAAATTTTTTTGGTAATGGGGATTGAACCCAGGGGGACTTTACCATTGAACTAATCCCTAGTCCTTTTTGTGTGTGTGTATTTTTAATTTTGAGACAGGTTCTTGCTACATTGCTTAGGGCCTCACTAATATGCTGAGACTGGTCTTGAACCTGCAATTCTCCTGTCTCAGCCTCCCAAATCTCTGGGATTACAGGTGTGCTCCACTGCAGCCAGCTCCATTGATTCTTATTTTTTAAATATAAGCATATTTTATGAAGTCACTAAAATGTCAAAAAAAATGGCAAGATTAGGAGAGGAGTAGCAAGAAGTGAAAGTAGATATGTGTTCTTCCTTGACTAACTTGATATATTGTAAAAGCAAAAGCCAGGTTTAGAAAACAAAAGGCTATTCCAGAGAAAATACCAAGTGAAGAACAGATCAAAGCAATTCTAAGACAGAAACAAGTTTCCTGCGCAGCTACTCAACTTTTTAATGAACTATATAATCAGTTCTTGGTATATATATTTTAGTTCAAAAGAGATCAAAAGCTGTGGTTCATTGCCTAGTTTAAAGAAGAATGATGGGTTATTCATCTTTATATGCTGGTAATATTAATCAAGTTGTGGGTTGAGGTAAAAAGAGTCTTATGTTCATCTATAAAACAATGAAGTACTGAGCAATGATCAAGTTTGTCATCTTCTGTGGTTATTTTCCATAACAGTAGAGTTGGAGACCATCTCAGAGCAATGTCAGAGCGGTAGTAGACAGCTGATAATTCTTTATCTTCTGTGTTACCAAAAAAAAAAAAAAAAAAAGCCCTAAATAGCCATGTTGCACCTACCCAACAATCCTCAGGGGTTTGTTTTAAACCAGTATTTGAAAGGACAGAAAGCAGCCCTAACTAATGATATGAATATCCCTGCAGGTCCACACTGAGAAACACATTTTCATTTAACATCAGATCTTTTGCTGGCCCTGGAGGAGACAGCTTGATTCCAAATTTCAACTACCAGCTGTTTAACCTGGGATAAGTTGACCATGTTCTTAGTGACTCAGTTTTTCTGTCTGAAAAAAAATGGAGACTGATTTTCTGGCAAAAGTTATTTTCAAATAGTACTACAAATTCACTTAATGATAGAGGAAAATTAAATGTTTGCAACAGATAGAAGAGCTTACATAGCAATTAGAATTTATTCATCATTTTGATAAAGCTGAATTGGTTGAAGCTCTCTAAAATTTTATTAACACACTGGTCCTGGGAGTGGCTATTGGTTTTGTTATGGCCACTTTTGTTTTAAGAAAAACCTATACAAAAAATTCACAGTACATATTCTTTAGAACTAAAGTCAATACTAGGAAATAGAGTTCTATGCTCCCATAAATTTGGCAAACACCATGTTGTAGTTATTGTGTGAGTCCCCAGAGGTTTCAGTCACTGAAAATCTTTGTGACTCTCTGGATTGGTAAGAAGCTTGCAGTATTTCTATGTGATCATGGGCCCTTCTTGAGGAATATCTCTCAGGTCCAACAATACAGAGAGCAGCCATTAATAGAGAGTTATACAAAAAAAATACCCTAGGAAGGAAATAGAACATGATTATTATTCAAATATAATTCAAATACCATGACAATGCTATAGATTTCCTTAGTTTGTGGATTATTGTTGTCAAGTTTGACAGCACTGATTTATTGGACATTTCTATAATGGTGTTTTGTTCGGCAGTGGAGTTTTAACAAAGTATTTTTTCAATCAGTAATTATCATAATTAGTAAAATGGTTCCAAGTTACAAAGCATCTTCACATGTGTTATGACATTTTGTACTAAAACAAACCTGTCCTGTAGGTATTGCTATGGTCCCCACCCCTTAAAGAGAAAAGAAAATGAGGCTCAGAGATGTTAAGTGACTTATGCAAGGACTTAGAACCAAAGAATGACAGAACTGGAGCACGAACAAGGTTTTTTGACTCCAAATTCAGTGTATTCCCTCCCACAACTCACCTCCTTTCTTCTGAGCATTTTCTTTATTAAGACTCATTATTGTTTTTCTGCTTACAATGAAGCCAATCCCAAATGGCATGTTTAACCATAAAATTATGATTTGAAATATAACTCTTAAAAGGTAATTATCTCATTTTATCACAATTACTGAACTTTTATATATCTTCTAATGACAATATAATGATTTTCTTTTATATAAATGTGAATTTAATCTCTCTGCTAAGAAGTAAATCCATGAACTGTCTTTCTGTCGAGTTTCTTTAGTGTTATGTTTTCTAAATATGCTACTGACTAGTTCTTGCTGAGAATAGTTGAATAGATCACTCACTGTCTCAGTTTCACATATGATGAAACCATCAGATACTGATCTAAAAACAAAAATACCAGACTAGATCAGGACTCTAACAAGTTCAACTCGGGTGTCCAAGATTGGGATTTCA